CAGGAGACACCACAACGGGTTGTCAAGATGCCGACGACGACTTCGACAAGTCCATGGCAGGCGACGACCCTGGCGCGCTCCTGGGCTCCACCGCCGACGAGAACGAGAATAGTAGGCTCCAGGATGCGCTCGACACCCTCAGGGCGGCCAAGCGCTCCAAGACCGCGAGCGGGCAACTGGCTCGGCACGGCCATCGGTGGCAACCGTGGTCTCGAGGCTCTTCCGAGGCGCCAAGGCCACCGTCATCCGTGGGCTCGACCCCAGCCCGCACTACCCTGTTGCGCTCGAGCTGCTCGGGCCAGACCAGCACCATAACGCAGCCGTCATGCGCGCGGCGAAGCGCCTGCCTTTGCCCGCGCCTCTGGGCGCGCTGCTCCAGGGGCCATTCGCCAGCCTGGAGGTCGGCGCTCAGCTCGAGCAGACCTTCGATTTGGACAGCATGTGAGAGATCTTTGTCAGGCAAGCCGAGATCAGCAGGGTCAGCGCGCGCGGGCTCATTCACGAGCTCGACAGATACGTTGGGCGCGCGGACCGCCCTAGGCCCGCGGTGACGTCTGCCGCGGCCCCGCCCCCGCCGCGGCTTCCCAGGGCCGCGAGAGCGGCGGCGCGGTGCAGGCCTGTTGCCATCTGTCTGAGGGATGCCGCCCAGATCGACAAGTCTCTCTCCGGATTGGGGGCGCTGAAGGCCCTTGAGCGACTGCCCAGCAAGCAGCAGCCCAACCTTTCGGTGTTGCAGGGTGCGATCGGCACGCATGGCAATGGCGCATCTGGTTTCTCGCTGCAGCAGTTAGACATCTTGAGCGCCGCATGCTTTGCCCGGTCAGAGAGGAAGGTCGAGCGCGACCTCGATCAGGCTCAGAGGAACTACAACGACTGGGTGCTCCACTCAGCGGCTACAGACTTGGGCGGCGTCCGCGCTGTTACCGGCGTAGCGCAGTCGTGGAACGCTGAGCCTGCCAGGGCTGAGGGCGAGGCTCCGCTCGCTGTCCAGCAGAGCCTGCAGGCCCTCGTCAACGAGCGGGGTGTCGACTGGGACGTGGTCGCGCCCGAGGCCGGCCAGGTCGTCGCGGCCCCTACCGACGGGGCGGGGCCGCCTGCCTTTCCGCGACAGCCTGTGCCTGAGAGGCACCGTCTGCCCTGGCCTCAGGACCTCGGAGGGCGCCCTGATAGGCCCACCGTGGATGAATTGTGGACAGTGGTCTCGCCCTTCAGGCCGCAGTCTGGGCCCGATTTTGACGGCGCGCGGCCGAGTGAGTTCAACGTGCTGTTATGCGCGTTTGAGCGCAGAGGCTCGTCCGCCGAGTGCGAGCTCCCCGGCGGCGCCCGAGGCGCGCAGCGCCGACTCGGGTTGCCGCCGAAGGTGGCGCAGCCAAGGGCGCAGGGAAACTTGGCAGGGGGTCTGGCTGGGCGGTGGTGAGTTGGCCCCGCTTGGCACCCTTTTCTCAAGCGCCCGCCCGCCGCCCGCGCCCCGGCGACCGCTTGCGCGGCCGCTTCGAACCTCAGCTCGCGCCGCGCGGGCCTGGCGCGTAGCTTAAAACGATGCACTTGCAGGGTTCGCATGCGCATTTCGGCGCGCCCCTCGCACGGTTCGCCCACCCTCATTCCGGCGCGCCCTTCGCGCGGTTCGCGGCCCCATAGGGGGCTCCACCGAAAGCTGCAGCGGCGGGGTTCGCATGTAGATCCATTTTCATGTCGGCGCACCCCTTGCGCGGCGCGTGGCCCCATGGGCAGCTCCACCGAACGCCTCGGCGTCAAAGTTCGCGCGCAGTCCCACCCTCATTTCGGCGCGCCCTCGCGTTTCGCGGCCCCATAGGGGGACCCCGCCGAAGGCCCCAGCGGCAGGTTTCGCACGCAATTCCGCCAAAATTTCGGTGCCCCTTTCACATGGTTCGTGGCCCCATAAGGAGCTCCACCGAAGGCCCCTTGACAGGGTTCGCATGCAATTCCGCCCTCATCTCGGCGCACCCCCACGCGGTTCGTTGCCCCACAGGGAGTTCCATCGAATGCTTCAGTGGCGGGGCCGCTGCTGTGAACTTGGGGGGCTGGGTTGGGTTGTAAAGTACTTATGAGGTACTTGCGAGGCAGTTGTAGGGCATGTGCAACATCGTTGCAAGTCACTTGAGCGTCTGTGAGTTCTGGTCTATACTTTAGCAAGTCGCATCACGTTTGCATCAGGTGGCACGCACTTGTCTTGACTTAGCCCGGGTTGCAACGTAACGCAGCGATGCTTAGTTGATGGTTGAAGTCGGCGTTCTGCAATGTCAAAGTCAGAATGAGATTTCGCATTCCCGTGCGCAGATGCGGCCCGCATTGCGTGTTTCTGATTTTCACGCGTTGCCCACGTGGCACTTCCGAAGTACAGGTTCCAAGTGCGCGAAGACACATCCGTCGTTAGATTCTGCGCCGAGTGGCAATGGGACGCTCGACGGGCGACGCCGCGATCGAATTTAGCCAGCGCGCGCAGAAATTACAATCTTCAGAATTTGGCACCATTCATGTTTCACGCATCATACACGCATCCGGTGCAATGTGCGCCACGATGATTGCACGCGATACCGCATGCAATTCCAGACAGAGCGTTGTTGTCTCAACATTGAACATACCGCGACGATGTGAAGGCGTTTCAGGCTCAGGTTGGTTGGATTTCATCAGCGAGTGCATCGACATGCATCGCGACGGCAAGCTTGCCCCGATCACAGCTTGGAAGGATTGCGTCGGCCGCCTTTTGAACGATGAGGTCGCCACGCAGTCCGTCGCCGAGGCTCGAACCGTCCTGGCCTTGGCGCGAGCGCCTACAACGTCCACAGGGTTGGTGCAGTGCTCGAGCAGATCGGCGCTGACCCTGCAGGGCTTGCGAAGGCGGTTGCCTTCGAGCGCGCGCCCGCGGATCCGATGAAGTCGCCCCGGGCTGCATTCAATCGACAAGCTGGTCTCGTTCAGCAAGGGCACGCTGGCGCCGATGACGGGCGCGGGGAGTCTCTGCGCGGCGGGGACGGGCCACGCCGCGCAGTTTTTCAAGGCGGTGAAGGCGGGCCGCGCCGCGCCTGAGCCGACCCTCGCCGGCCCGACGATGGGTGGGAAGATGGGCGCAGAGACGCTGTGCGCTGTCCCAGGACGCGCGGTTCCACTGCGCTCACGCGAAAGGCTGGCGTTCGACCGTCTTGCCGCGGCAGGCAGGAGTCACGCGGCCGCGCCTCCCAGATTTGGCACAGCGCGCCTTCGATGCGAGCGACGACGTTGCCAGTTTGATGTCGGAGCTCGGAGTTTGCGTGGGTGTTGCAGAATCTGCAGAACTGATGCCATCAGGATCTCCTTGTGGTGCCTGCGCTGAGGCAGCGAAGATGAACCGGTTTCCGTGCCGGACAGGCGGCGTGGAACGGCATCCCTTGCAAATGCGCGCGGCGCAGGCAGGCGCAGCCGCGGCGTGCAGAAACGCAGCGGCATGCTGACATTTGCGCATTCTCCGACATGTGTCTCGCATGCGGTCTGCGCTGTGGCCGCGCGCGCCCGCGCTGCGCATCATATGTTGGGGGCGCGCTTCCGCCGAGGGGATTGCGTTGATGATGTTGGCAAGCTCGCAACGCACTCTTGCGGGGGATATGGCTTTCCGTTGGTTAATATCATGGATCATGTTTGCATGATGCGCGTCGCTGACAAGAAACTCGGGCAGGAGTCCGTTGCGTGTCGACGACGCATATTTCGGTGATTTCGAGCCGTGCGTTTTCTGGCGCATCGCGAGCGCCCGTGCCAATCTGGCTTCCGATGAATCCGTGGCGGAGCTATTGATTCACTGCGACATTGAGAGGTTGCAAGGCAAAGCAGTCAGGGGCAACGCAAGTGCTCTCGACAAGGGCTTTTCCACATGTTATCGCGCCACAGGCGCCCGGCGCGCCAGCGGCCGCGTCGACTCAAAGCAGCGTGGCGCGTCGGTTGGGAAGGTCTGCGCCCGCCTAGCATTGCGCTCAGTCGGGAAGGGCAAGCATCGGCCAGAGGGCGTTGCTCACGAGAGCCAGGTGCTGATTATCACAGATTTCGTATCTGAGGCAACCGGCATGTCTGGCGGCGGCGTTGTAGACCCAGACGGCGAGTGGAAGCCCCGGGCGCCTCTTGAACCCAGCGGCCCGCATTCTACAGATGACAGGGCGGTCGTGCTGACCGAAGAGGACCCGCGCCGCCCAGAGCTCATTTTGGCAACCGCGGGTTTCACATTGGGGGGCGTCGTGTTTGAGCGTGCCGTGAGCGCGCAGGCGGGGCTGCGCACGATAGCTGCGCAATAGGCGCCTCAGGGCGAGCGATGCCCCGACGGCCGCCCGCGCGCCGGCGGCGACGGCGACGCCGGGGAGCGGCCGCGGCAGCTGCGCCAGGCCAGGAGGGGGAGGAGACGGACGAGCGAGGGAGCGCGAGCGAGGGAGCGCGGGGATGGAGAGGCGGATAAGGGGGGCGGGGGGGGGGGGGGGTGGGGGGGGGGGGAGGGGGGGAGGGAGGGGGGAGATCGCGGGCCCCCGTCCCCGTTCCTCCCGGGTCGCTGAGGCCCTCCTGTCGGCGCATTCGAAAAACCGCCCGCGGCCTTTTGGAGAGGGCTCGAAGTGGCAGCGTGCGGTTTTCCAGCAACCCGGAATGAGGAGGAAGAGGAGCTTGACGAGGATGGGGGAGGAGGACGATGAGAAGGAGGAGGAGGGGGAGGAGGAGAACGAGGAGGAGGAGGAGAACGAGGGGGAGTAGGAGGAGAGGGGAAGGAGGAGGATGAGGGGAATGAAGGAGGAACCGCATCGGCGTGTCTCGGATGACGCGGTCAAGAACCTCGAGACCCCCCCGTGCGCGGAGTTCCTCCAGCAGGCGATCGAGGGCCACATGGGCGACGGCGCAGGGCCTGCAGCAGCGGCGCTAGCTCCGTCGGCAGCACCCGGCGCAGCAGCACCAGCTGCGCCAGCGGCGCCCGCGGCAGCGCCAGCTGCGCCAGCGCAGGCGCCGCGGTCGAAGGGACCCGCCCGGGCGTCATCATGGCGCGGCCGCGCCCGACCCCGAGGCAGCCGCCGTTCCCGCCGCCGCCGGCCACGGCGAGCCGTCCGCCCGCTCCACCGACGCCGGCGTCCGTGACGGACTCCCGCTACAACGCCCGCGGCGACGAGCGAATGCGCGGCGGGTGGAGCGGCCGGCCGACCAGGATGCCCGATAATGACCACAACATCAATCGGGCAGCATTCGAGACCATCATCGCTGCCGCGAAGCGCGGCGAGGTCGGCAGTTCGAGGCGATCGAGGCGCGCGAGCAGTAGAACTTCAAGGAGGTCAAGCGGGCCCTCGCGTTGGCGCGCGAGAGGTCCGGCAACGGGGGCGCCGAGGGCGGCGGCGCGGGCGGCGACGAGTTGGCGCGCATCTAGCCGAGCGACGCGGCGGAGCACGCGCTGAAGCAGCCCGCGGCCATCGTGGACAGCGGCGGCGGGAGAGCCACGGCGCCGCGCGCGCGACGCCTTCGAGTGTGATCCCACTCTGATCGCACTGTTGGGGGCATTTCCTAAAGTGCGATCGCACTTTTCGGCGCGGTCGCCTGCGCACATAAAGTGTGGTCACACTTTTAGGCGTCGGTTGATCATCAAACCCTCGTTGTGCATAAGAGCATACTTACGACTGGAAGCAGGCTCCAGCGATGCGCTGAATATGCGCCATCAGGGGGCCTAGCGGCAGTCGCCCTTGCCGCCCAGGCCGACGTTTACTTGCGGGAGGCCGCCATCTCGGCCGCGAACCACCTCGCGATCATGGCCATGTGTTGCCCATCCTCCTCCCTCGCAGCGCTCGTCAGTGCGTCTGTCACGGTCGCGCTCTCCGTTACCTCCGCCATTCTTCAGCTGTTTCGTTTCTGCGTGTCTCACTCTTGCCATGCCTCCGCCCATTGCCCACCGATCACATTGCACTGCCCGTTGTTGGTTACGTACGCGAACGCGCTTTTTTTCGTTTGAACGATGTCGCGCCGCGTTCAGGTTGCGCGCGTGCGCATTGGCTCGCAGCAAGGGTTGTGGCGGGCTGCTGTCCAATGCAGTTGTGCCCGCTCGCAGGTCTTGCTGCATTCTCGCACTTGTGTTGGTGCGTCGCAAGGTCAACCCTCGCAGTTCACGCGTGGACCACGTGAGTCATGCACGCGCTCGTGCCCAGGCGACGCAGCTGACTTCACAGATTCGCCGATTGACCATCGCCCGTTGCTTTTCTGATTCGCGTTTCACTTTCACGCGTTGGCCTCGAGCTTGCAGCCCCATTCATGCCTCGCCCAGCTTGTTGGTTGCATCCCGCACATTATGTCGAGTGCGCCCCGCTTTTCCCCGCGCGCATCCGCGTTTCGCCGAGAGCGCCCTGCGCGCGGCTGAGCTCAGCCAGCAGTTCGCCGTGCGCATCCCGCAGATCACCGCGCGCATCCCGCGCGTCGCAGCGCGCGCCCCGCTCGTCGAGCGCCGCCTGCAGCTCGCGGCGGCGCCGAGCTGGCGCGAACTCCGCCCGCGGGCCAAGCTGGCTGAGGCCGAGGTTACCATCGATGAGCTGCGCCGCAAGCGCAACAGCAAATCGCCATCGACCGCATCGTCGGCATGACAGATCACGCGCGTCAGCAGGAGGCGCGGGATCGCAGGGGGCAGGCGCAGTTGCGCAGAGAGGCGCTGCTGCAGGAGCGGCACCGACAGGCCGCGGAGGCCATGCGCCGCGCGAGGTTGGCGAGCTCTTTGGTCGATGCGCGGGCGGAGGGCGACGCGCCGCCAGCGCTTTGCCTCGCGTGTGGCGCGACGGGGGAGCCCATTCCTGTCCCCGACCTACGAGCTGCGACGCGGGCGGCGACGAACGACCGTGGCGACTACGACGACGTTGACGGATGACGTCAGACGACGACGACGACGACGACGACGACGACGACGACGACGACGACCTCGACGACCTCGACGCTGACGATCACGACGGCGACGACGACGACGACCTCGACGCTGACGCTGACGCTGACGATGGCGACGCTGACGATGACGACGCTGACGACGATGTGCTATCTAGGCGCAGTGGCTGCGGCTGGTTTCTGCAGGATCGAGCCGTCGTTTGCGCCTGCTGCGCGACATCCTCAGCCCCCCTCCCCATCGCCGCGCCTTTTATCATGCGACGCGCCCTTCGCATGGCGGTGCTGGTGGTGGTGCTGGTGTTGGTGCTGGTGCTGGTGCTGGTGCTGGTGCTGATGCTGGTGCTGGTGCTGGTGCTGGTGTGTGTATTGTGGTGGTGGTGGTGGTGGTGGTCTGTTGTGGTGGTGGTCTGTTGTGGTGGTGGTGGTGAATTGTTGTTGTGGTGGTGGTGGTGGCTGTGGTGGTGGTGGTGGTTGCGTGGTGGTTTGGTGGTGGAAGTGGTGGGTTGAGGTGGTGGTGGTGGTGGTATTGGTGGTGGTGGTGATGGCGTTGTGGTTCGGTGGTGGTGGTGCTGCTGCTGGTAGCGATGCTGGTGGTGGTGGTGGGTGGTGGGTGGTGGGTGGTGGTAGTGATAGTGGTTGTCGTAGTGGTGGTGGTGGTGTGGTGGTTTGTTGTGGTGGCGTTTTTGGTGGTGGTTGTGTAGTGGTTTGTGGTGATGGTGGCGGTTGTGGTGGTGGTGGGTTGTGGCGATTGTGGTGGTGGTGATTGTGGTCGTGGTGGTGTTGTGGTTCGTGGTTTGTGGTGGTGGTGGTGGTGTGGCCTTCGGCCCTTCCCGCCACCTTGTTTTGGCTGTGGGTCAGAGTTTTACTTGATGCCTCTTGAAGTCTTGTCGGAAGGGGTTCGGGGGCGTCTGAGGAGCATGTGTGAACCCTCGTGGACCTTCCTAAGGGCCTCTCGGTGGCTTCTGGGGGGCGAGGGCTCGATATGGTGATTTGTGTGTTCCCCCTGCGGCCTCTTGGCCCTCTCTGGTAATCGTCGCTGCGTCCCCGCCGTCGGCGCTGCTGGCCGCCGCCAGCGCCGGCGCTGGCGCCAGGGGGTGGGGTTTGGATCCCCCCCCTGTTGGGAGGGGGGGGGTTCGCAAAGGGGTAGGGGTTAGGGGGGAGAGGAGTCCGCCTGGTTCTGATCGACGGCGCCGAGTGTTGGGGGGGGGCCTCCCCCCGGTTCGAAACGCGCCGCCGAATGTTCCCAAGGCAAGCGCCCGTGAAACGCGCTCTCTCCCACATCGGAGGGCTGGGTTCGCGGGGCCCCCGGCCAACGTACCCGCCAGTGGAGTCCCCGTGGAGTGGCGCTGTGAGATCTCTCCACCCACTGGGCCGCCCGCGGCCACGCGGAGGCGATGCGCTGACTCCGCAGGGCGTGCTCGTGAGCCTCTCGGAGAAGGCGCCGAGGGGTGGGGCCGCCAGTGGGCGGCGAGCCCGGGGGGCGGGGAGGCGAGGAGGAGAGGGCCCTCCAGGGGTCATTTCGATGCCTCCGATTCGATTCGATTCGATTTCGATGGATTCCGATTCCGATTCGATTCGGCATCTGATTCCGATCTGGGCTCCGATTTTCCAGCGGGGGCCTACTGAACTGCCGATTTCCGACTTTTCCCGATTCGGCTGCCGAGTTCCTCCGATCCGATTGATTTCTTTTGCCGATCCGGCTTATCGATTCGATTCTGGGCTCACCTGGCCCTCTCAGGAGGCCCGGACGTCCCCGCCGCCTTTGAGAAGCTTCAGGCTTTGGGAGGTTCTCCACTGGACCAGAAGCTTGGGGTCCAACCCTGGGATGTACGATGGGGGGGCGTCCATCCTCGATAGGGGTGCTTCCGAACCGCCCCTACTGGGGTGTATACAGGGTTTCCATCCCTTTCTGAACGCGTTTTTTTTGTTGTTTGTCGAAAAGTCGGGGGCTCGGGGGAGAAACATCGCATGCAAGAGACGCAGAAAGCTTCCCAGGAGGCTGGAGAGGGCTTCTGAGAAGCCCCGCCGCTTTCTGAGAGGAGGCCTTTCGCTTTCTCGCTCCCACCTGGGCGCGCCGCCGAATTTCGTTTTGGGGTCATACCTCGGGTCTCCGGCGGCCGTTCGAGACGATTCCAGCACCCCCGGAACGCCCTCGGCGGGGCGCAGTTGCTGGTACGCATCCAAAGGCTAGGCTGGAAAACCACCGAGAACCGACGAAAACGTCCGAAAACCTCGAATCTCGAACCCGAAACTTCCGGGGGGCTTCTGAGAAGCCCCGCCGCCTTCTGAGAAGGCCTCTCGAATTCTCGGTTCTCCCTTATCCTGCTCGCCGCCGAGAGCCAGGGCAGGCGCGCCTTTCTGCGCAAGGGCGCCGCTCCTGTGCATGGGGGGGAGTGTTCTCCGTCGCTCCCCCCCCTCCTCCTCCTCCCCCTCCTCCTCCTCCTCCTCCTCCTCCTCCTCCTCCTCCTCCTCCTCCTCCTCCTGCTCCCCCTTTCCCTCCTCCTGCTCCTGCTCCTGCTCCTGCTCCTGCTTCTCCTCCCCCTCCTCCTCCTCCTCCTCCTCCTCCTCCTCCTCCTCCTCCTCCTCCTCCTCCTGCTCCCCCTTCCCCTCCCCCTTCCCATCCTC